GGTTCGAATGTAGCGTTAAAAAGCACCATGATGTAAAGTGTACGTTAAAAATGTGGCTTAAAAGTGGATAGAAAGTCAGTTTAAAACAGACTCACAGGAAGATTTAAGATACACATTTATCTGACACTGCACAACTCTAAATATCACATTTGGCTAGTTGTTTTTAGATATTTTAATGCAGAAATGTTACACGTTATATGTTTTAAAACTCAGATTTCTGACATTCAGAGAGACATTTTCTGTAGATGTGTGACTTCAGTGACATATGTACAACTTTAAACTCAAGTTTCTTCCCTGAAATATATATATTTTGATCTACAATTTGACCTACCTTTACCTTAAAGGGGACCTATCATGCAAAATGCACTTTTGTACGTCTTTTCTACATGAATATGTGTCCCCGGTGTTCCAGGGAACTCACCAAGTGTCAGAAAACACAACCCTCTCTATTTTCCTCCATATCCAAATCTCTAAAAAAGGGGCTGCAACGGATCTGATAAAAACTGATCCAGATTTGAACACTTCTATGTCGTCACAGAAGTGGCGCTACGGCTATTGGGCCAACTCTCCACCAATCAGGGGAATGTGGGGTTGGGCCACGGCCGGCCATTGCCGCTCGAAAGCGCTGGAGACGCTGTAGTACATATGCCAGACCTGTAAGTGGCGCTGTAGTCTGCCACAAAAGCAGCGAAGAAGACTTGGTTACCATGGTTACCCTTCTGTTTATTCTCCGCTGTGGCTTTCTTTCTCCCTCCCGAGGCAAACGTTTGCTCCCGCTGCTTTAATTCAATGCAATCCCTCCCCGTCGAGACAAGCACTGTAATTCTCTCCGGTTAGTCCACCAGCAGATGACAAACACCCACCTCTCCGCCTCTTCCAAGGAACGAGGGGACCGCATACTTGCCAACCTTGAGACCTCAGAAATCGGTGGAGCATATGTGTGGGCTGGAAAGGGCTACAGGAAAGGAGTGAGCAGAGGGTAGAGTTGTCGATTCTTGTTCTGTTTTCTGTGACTATCTTCCTCACCCTCTCAGACTTTCAGTTGCGCGCGCTGCTAAAGAGACGCGCTACCATGGAAACCAAACAATGGTGTAGCTGTATTAAAGTCAGAGTGGAAACAGTCGTGAGTAAATCTGATTTTGTCAGAAATCGGGAGAAATGCGGGAGAAATATGACCCCGGGAGGAAACCGGGAGAGGGCAATGAAATCGGGAGTCTCCCGCGAAAATCGGGAGGGTTGGCAAGTATGGGGGACCGTGCGGCAGGGTTTCAGTTTCCGGTTTTTTCGCCGGTCAAGATGTCCGTTAAAGTTTAAATCTTCCGGACAAAATTAGAAAAGTGCCGGTCAAAGGTCTTCTTTGTTATTTATTGAGCTTTAAAACAAATGAATAACGACTCTATATAATAAAACACGGAGGACGGAGATCTCTTTTTCTCCCCCTCTTCTGACAGCCCAGCAGCTGATCAGAGCACGTCTCCCCTCTCCTGCAGGGGGGCGTGGTCAGCAGAATCAGACCCGTAGACAGCAAACAGCACATAGAGCGAAATGAGGCATGGCTAAAATGCATGATCTGTTTGGTATTTTGAAAACAGAAACGTATAAATATACCTTATATAGGTATGGCCCTACAATATATCATTTAAATATAGCATGATAGGTTTCCTTTAAAGTGTGGTGGACAAATACGTTGTGTTGATCCGTGGCGCGCTAGTAACGCGCAGAACCCGAGTGATATTTGCTGTTAGGACTCGGGTTTGAGTCCAGCATGAACTTTTTTGTTATTTTCATGTCGATGGACACTGAATATTACGTTTGAATAGAGGATTCCTAATATTGTTTGCCCAGACCAATATTAATAACCCATCAGCATTTTGAAGTCTAAATATCCCTGCACATGCAGCAATGACATTTCTGCTGCTATCTTTGCAAAACGAGTTAACAGTCACATCTTATCTGGATGAGTGCTGCAGAATACCGTTTTTATAAGGGATAAATGTGTGTGTAGTCTTTCATATTAAACATGATCGCTGGTAGATAGCCACAGAAGTGTTAACACAGTTTAACCTGGGTGGATCACAGTTTAACCTGGGCGGGTCCCAGTTCCCTGGGCGGATCGCAGTTTACCTGAGAGGATCACAGTTTAACACAGATGAAGACTTCTCCACGCTGCTTTCAAACTGTAACTAAACACTGTGTGCTTCACTTGGAGGCTGTCTGAAGGTGTACACAGGTCTCAGATGGACTTGATATCACATTAAGAACGATATTCAGTATTAAGTCTGGCAACAATAGCTGGTTTAAATGATTTATTGGAGCTCGCAATGTTTTGAACACACATCCCCAGTCAACTCGTTTTTCTTTTTGTAGTCCTCGCTGTTCGCGTCCGGATATCGCCATCGTAACCACAACCTCACACACTGGTACTGAATGTGCATCAAAGTCTTCCTACCGACCCAAATATACCAAAAGATTTATGTAAACGACAGAAGAAGCCATCGAAATGTGTATTTCAGTCGAAGGCCACGCCCCCCACATATGTGCCCCAGTTGATCGGGAAACCAGTTAAACCGGAACACCGGCAGTTGCTTGCTTTTGTGGTGGAACATTACGGGACATAATTCACTGTGTTATAGAGAGTGTGTTGCGCCACGGACCTGTTAGGTAGCGCACCTGTGGTTTGTTATCTCTGGGTGTTTCTCAATGTCGAGTACGCTTGCTTGGTAGCACATGTCTGCCGAGCATCTTGCTTCAGAAGCGAGGCAAGAATACTTCCAGACATTTGGAAAACAAAGAGTGGAACAGGCTAGCAAGTGTGCGTCATATGAGAAGCCCCGCATTACATCTTCCGCCACAGATTTTGGAAATTGGTCCGTGCGCAAAGCATTGTGGGGATTTTGAGACCGCGGCGTCTACTCATGTGCAGCCTCGATATTTCTCCAAACGGAGTACGCCGGGCTCGGTAGATTTCCAAGTATGCTGGAGATTGGAACAGTTCTTCGGTGGCTTGTACCTCTGTGTGTGTACCTCTGTGTGTGTACCTCTGTGTGTGTACCTCTGTGTGTGTACCTCTGTGTGTGTACCTCTGTGTGTACCTCTGTGCGTGTACCTCTGTGTGTGTACCTCTGTGTGTGTACCTGTGTGTGTGTACCTCTGTGCGTGTACCTCTATGTGTGTGTGTGTACCTCTGTGTGTGTACCTCTGTGTGTACCTCTGTGCGTGTACCTCTGTGTGTGTACCTCTGTGTGTGTACCTGTGTGTGTGTACCTCTGTGCGTGTACCTCTATGTGTGTGTGTGTACCTCTGTGTGTGTACCTCTGTGTGTGTACCTCTGTGCGTGTGTGTACCTCTGTGTGTGTACCTCTGTGTGTGTGTGTACCTCTGTGTGTGTGTGTGTACCTCTGTGTGTGTACCTCTGTGTGTGTGTGTACCTCTGTGTGTGTACCTCTGTGTGTGTACCTCTGTGTGTGTACCTCTGTGTGTGTGTGTATCTCTGTGTGTGTACCTCTGTGTGTGTACCTCTGTGTGTGTACCTCTGTGTGTGTACCTCTGTGCGTGTACCTCTATGTGTGTGTGTGTACCTCTGTGTGTGTACCTCTGTGTGTGTACCTCTGTGTGTGTACCTCTGTGTGTGTACCTCAATGAGGACCCAGCAGATCTGCTGAGAGAGTTTGTGGTCAGTAGAAGTCATATTTGACCTTTTGATTTTTTTTGTTGGGCTTTAAAATATGTATTTATTGAAACACCACATAGTAAAAAGTATAAAGCCAAAAGTATGTGAACATCCCTGTTTTTTGTTTAATAGCCAGACTACACTGAAAAGCTAGAGGGCTTTTCATTTAAAACGGATACAGGAAGTGAAACATTTGTTATCAGGTCAGACAGCAGTATATCAGATAACAAGGAGGCTTCAAAGTACTGAAATCTGACCAAATGTACTTGTTAAACACAATGGGTATATATATGTATTGATTTGTTAGATCTCACTCTGTTCCCTTTGTGACTGTGCACTCTGCAGGCAGACTGTGCACTCTGCAGGCAGAAGATGAAGACGTCATTCTGCGGTCCATTCAGGGGATTACAGTGGGACTTCATGTTGACAACACAATTCCACCATGAGACAGGACAGATGAGACCAGAGGACAGATGAGACCAGATGACAGATGAGACCAGAGGACAGACTAGACCAGAGGACAGATGAGACCAGAGGACAGATGAGACCAGAGGACAGATGAGACCAGAGGACAGATGAGACCAGAGGACAGATGAGACCAGAGGACAGATGAGACCAGAGGACAGATGAGACCAGAGGACAGATGAGACCAGAGGACTGATGAGACCAGAGGACAGATGAGACCAGAGGACAGATGAGACCAGAGGACAGATGAGACCAGAGAATGAGACCAGAGGACAGATGAGACCAGAGGACAGATGAGACCAGAGGACAGATGAGACCAGAGGACTGATGAGACCAGAGGACAGATGAGACCAGAGGACAGATGAGACCAGAGGACAGATGAGACCAGAGGACTGATGAGACCAGAGGACAGATGAGACCAGAGGGAAGATAAAGCGTCTTTGAGCACCTGTAAAAACGCTAACAAAATAAATCTATTATTATTATTATTATTATTATATAGAGAAAACACAGGAAACATGTGTGTGTCCCCCACCCCCTAAATATTAGTGAACATCGTACGTCTTGCCCTGTGGACCAACGTCGCTATTACACGTGTTGTTGTGAGACTGGGTTGGATATTTGCACAGAGAGAAGGAAACATATGACCCCCCCAGGCTAAAGTGCTGCAGGTGGAATTCACACACACACACACACACACACACACACACACACACACACAGACATAGTGTATATTTGCATATAGGGAAAGCACAGGAAACAATGTCAAAGACACGTATAACCGGACTGAGAAGTTTTCAGGAATATTTGCATCAGTCTTTAGGGGCTGGATGAGCAGACCTGCATAACAACAGACGGAGCGAGACACAGCGCCACATCAGAGCTGCACCTCCAGGACCAGGACCTAAACAGAAGTATCAGCTGCCCCGGACCTCCAGGACCTCCAGACGGTGAGTCTCCACTTATGTTTCTCCTCACAGTCCTGCATCTCCGTCAGGAAGCCTCCTGTGACTCGGTGCAGGGACCAGTCCCCTCAGAAACACAGAGAATCCTGAAGAGAGGTCCGTGTGAATGCTGAATACTGAGCTTTCTGAGTAACGTACGGGGAGCAGGTAGCAGCTGAAGTCTTACCTGTTTCTCCTTTGACTTCTGAAGTGAAATGTGGATGAATTATGGTGAATATTATGCATAGCATTCCTAACTGAGATTAACGTTTTGATGTTTGAACCGAGTTTGTGGGTTGAAAATGTGTTAGTAGTGTTCTATGTGTTCTAGTTAAGGTACAGAAAAGTGTACAGAAGACTAATAGAGATAAAGACTTTTTGCTGTAGAAGAACGTACATTGTAAAACTTAATAAGTTGTGGTAACTTTAAAAAAAGTATGCAAACTCATTGCCTCACAATAACTAAGGTAAGTTAGTATGGTGAGTAGGAACAACTTGTTTTTTTAAGTACTAACACAACACTTTTAAGTTGTAAAAAAACATTCATTGCATTAACTTAAAGGTCACCTATCATGCTTTCATACATAAATATATGTCCCCGTGTGTCAGGAGACTCACAAAGGGGCGTGGCCAGCAGCAGCTCGGGTACGTTTGAAGCTACTGACCCAGAATCAGCTCTTTAGTCACAGGCCTGAAATAGAGGGGGATGAGGCTGCAATGATCTGTTTGGGCTTTGGAGCAAAGCACTTCAGAGACATGTTTTTTATATCTCTGAAACCTATGATATATGCCTAAAAATAGTATAACAGGAGACCTTGAACATATACCAAACAGTTGGCTTTATTGCTAGGTTCAATAAATGAACAAAATGCACTTTAAACATGTCATGCAGGAGTAAGACAATGATTTAAGTAGGTACCTCCATATGATTATTGTGAATACATGATTAAAGGTTTCAGCCTAACTCTCTGAAACATGATGTCACACATCACTTGTGGATTGTTATATTTTATAAATCTAAAAGTGTTCATTCATCTGAAGCACTTTGAGAGCATTATCAATAGGATATAAATATGGTGTGCTCTTGTAACAAGTGTGTGCATTTGTAAAGCATTGAAACAGAAACACACTGATTGTATAACTATTAACGCTAACGACACAGAAAGAAAGTTACATCTACACATCACGGTGGAATTGGCATTACTCCTGAAGTTACTCGTGCACAGTGCTGCCCCTGACAGAGTTGGCCCGTTTTTTACATAACGTGTGAAAGTGTGTTCATTGGATGACAATAGTGAAGCTGAGGGAAATGATTTCCAGATATGTGTTCAGTTAAATACCACCAGTACGTCTTCTTATCTCAATGTCTCAGTTTTGCTCACAGCCTCTTTGCATCACTAAACTGGTGACATCAGGGAATCAGTCAGGGAGCATTTGACGGGTTTAGAGAACATTGTTTTGAATCTTCAGGAAGTGTATGAACCACTTCCTGCCGAGGACCCTTCATTGTGTACGCTGTTAATGTGTGTTATCGTGCGTTAACCCGGTGTTTGTGCCTCTTCCTCTGTGCAGAGTCATGAAGCTGCTCCTCCTGCTGGCAGGTAAGCAGCATCGCAGGCTTCACTGTGACAAACAACATGTGTTTGAAAGGCATTATGAATGCATTTCAAAGTCAAGTCCTCTGTGCATAGAGTCACTGCGAGTGTGTAATAGCCCCGCACTACTCTACTGTCTTCTTTGTGCAAATAAAACAAGATAATGTTTGAATGATAGACTTTTAAAACATGAGCTCATCCATGAAATCAATATAAATCTGAACAGGTAGCTCTTATTCAACATTTTGATGGCTTCAGTTAATGAGGGGGTTAGCCTTCAACCACTTGTATTTATGAATGAAACAGAACCCAGATACCCTGTATACATTCACCCTGAAGGAGCACATGTTTTACAGAATAAATAAGTATATCATTATTCACTCATTGCACTGATGAGTGTCACTTCAAGTCAGAGGAGAGACTTCAGGGAACGATGAGTGTTCAGGTTGTTCTTGATGGATGTGTTTCTCCTGGAACTCCTGCAGTTGCTGCCAGCCAGATGGAGCTCTCTGCCTCTCAGATTGTTACTCTGAATGCTCCTGGTCGAAACATCAACATCAGCACCATGCCCATCACTTTCTATGGAAAAACATACACATGGGTACACGTGAGTACAATGAACCCCTGCCTGTGTTTCCTGTAATCATCCAGCACACACACTGACTGCTGATGACTGGTGTTATTACACATATTACACGTACTATACATACTACACATACTACACATACTACACATATTACACGCACTATACATACTACATATACTACACATACTACACGTACTACACATACTACACATAATAAAGGTATATCTGTGGTTTAGATAAGGTATAGATATTATAGATATTATACATAACTCACTGTTTAATATGTTATAACTCACTGTTTAATATGTTATAACTCACTGTTTAATATGTACTAACTCACTGTTTAATATGTACTAACTCACTGTTTAATATGTTATAACTCACTGTTTAATATGTACTAACTCACTGTTTAATATGTACTAACTCACTGTTTAATATGTACTAACTCACTGTTTAATATGTACTAACTCACTGTTTAATATGTTATAACTCACTGTTTAATATGTACTAACTCACTGTTTAATATGTTATAACTCACTGTTTAATATGTACTAACTCACTGTTTAATATGTACTAACTCACAGTCCTCAGAATCAGTCACTAGTGTGTTTGTCTTGATCTTATTTATATATAGATGTAAGCGGTTTGTTACCTCTCAGCGTGTCAGCCTGTAAATATGGGAGCAAATGAATAATGACATGTTGCTAAAGGCAGAGAATGAATTGAGTATTACACACAAAGTTTAAGGCCCGGACTGGCCATCGGGAGGACCGGGAGGGTGTGTGTATGTGTGGCGCGACTCGAGCGAGGCACACCTTACGTGTTGTTGTTGTTGTTAGCATCTGGTGCTAGCTAGCTGCGCTAACGGATATAAGGAGCTGTTTCAATGAAAACAGAGGAGCAACATTTCGCCGACAACTGCTTAGAGCACTTGACTTGATGCAGGTAGCCAGACAGTGGGACATTGTACGAAAAGTCAGCACACTCAGCACGGATAGTGCGCGCAACATGATTGCAGCGTCCAGGCAGCTTGAGCTGCACATAGCTCCAACGATCCATCACAGTGTCTCCACACACACACACACACACACACACACACACACACACACACACACACACACACACACACACACACACACACACACACACACACACACACACACACACACACACACACACACACACACCACACACTATTGTATTATTGTATGAGAGAGGTTCCAGGTTGAATTGAGGCGAATATTTGTAATGTTCAGGTTGTTGTGTTTAATATTCATGAGAATATTTTTCATTGTTCAAATGATAATAAACAAACATATAAAGCATATTTGTCCACTCATATGTTGATAAGAGTATTAAAAACTTGAAAAATATCCCTCTAAGGTACATTTAGAACAGATAAAAAATGTGCGATTAATTTTGCGATTAATCGCGATTAACTATTTGAATCGACTGACAGCCCGACTGAAAACATGTAATTGTTCATTATTAGTTAATAACACTGACAATTTCAGATGCAAAAAAGTGATCATGGTAGGAAGGGTGAGACACGTGCAGATGGTAGGAAGGGTGAGAGCTGGATGCCCAACTGTCTCTGTCTCTCAGCCAGAAGGGAGAGTGAGGGTGTGTGTGGCACATTCAGAAAAGATCTACCCACTCAGACTTGTGTCTCCATCACCACTCAGACTTGTGTCTCCATCACCACTCAGACTTGTGTCTCCATCACCACTCAGACTTGTGTCTCCATCACCACTCAGACTTGTGTCTCCATCACCACTCAGACTTGTGTCTCCATCACCACTCAGACTTGTGTCTCCATCACTACTAATGTTTAGTATGTTTTGCTTTATGTAATTCTCTACATTTAAATTAAAAAAATGTTTTATCCTAATTTTTAACGTTTCCCATAATTTGATGTCAGAGTTTGTTAAACATCTCAATTGTATTATTTTTTGTATTTCCAGTTTTAGTTCTGTTGAAACACAAGTATCTTTTAGGCACTGTGTGTTCAGTTTGCAGAAGCCTCTAGTGGAAGGGGCTCCGGAGGATAATGACGTTTGGACCAAAAGATGATCCGAAAAGTTATTAAAGATTGTTTTATAGTTGGTTACTGAGAAGTGATTCGATACATACATCCTGTCGATACGGGTTTTGCTTGTTTTGTCAGATCTCGTGAAATCCATACCAGCGGGATTCAGTGATCGACAGACATCGATTAGGTTTGCATCGTCGCAGATTTCTTTTAACAGTTTTCCTTCCGGCCTCAGTTTAAAAACAGCTGTACTACACTTATCTATTTCTTCTGTTACTGTTCAAATCCACACCTAATATCATTTTATAACCCACTGTTAAAAGTTCTCTTAGTTTTCTGAACAATGTTAGTTTATTCTGTGCCTCAGGGGCAGTATAAATATTGATCAGTCGATATTTTTCATTTTTATAAAAACAATCCACCATGAGCAGCCTTCCTGGGATTATGTCCCTTCTTCTAATAATAGTTATGTCTTTGTCTTTGAAGAAAATGCCAACTCCGTCAGCTCTCTCCAATGGATATAATACATGTACCTTTATACCACATTTTACACACATCGTCAACATCACTGGTGGTATTCAGTCTAAGTTCCTGCGTAAAAAGGAAGTCATAATTAGTGTCTAATAAATATTACATTTTCCTATCTCGAAAGTCTTTGCACTGAATACCACGTGCATTCCAGGTAGCAACATTTAATAAGCACATATTGATTTTGAAGATGAACTATGGTGAGGTATTTACATTCGCCCGTTTTTCATTTAGGTTCAAGTTTCTACTGACCACCCTCTCCTGTGTGGGACTTCCTGTCTGTGTCCTCAGGTGTGGGACTTCCTGTCTGTGTCCTCAGGTGTGTGACTTCCTGTCTGTGTCCTCAGGTGTGTGACTTCCTGTCTGTGTCCTCAGGTGTGTGACTTCCTGTCTGTGTCCTCAGGTGTGTGACTTCCTGTCTGTGTCCTCAGGTGTTTGACTTCCTGTCTGTGTCCTCAGGTGTGTGACTTCCTGTCTGTGTCCTCAGGTGTTTGACTTCCTGTCTGTGTCCTCAGGTGTTTGACTTCCTGTCTGTGTCCTCAGGTGTGTGACTTCTTGTCTGTGTCCTCAGGTGTGTGACTTGCTGTCTGTGTCCTCAGGTGTTTGACTTCCTGTCTGTGTCCTCAGGTGTGTGACTTGCTGTCTGTGTCCTCAGGTGTGTGACTTGCTGTCTGTGTCCTCAGGTGTGTGACTTCCTGTCTGCGTCCTCAGGTGTTTGACTTCCTGTCTGTGTCCTCAGGTGTGTGACTTCTTGTCTGTGTCCTCAGGTGTGTGACTTGCTGTCTGTGTCCTCAGGTGTTTGACTTCCTGTCTGTGTCCTCAGGTGTGTGACTTCCTGTCTGCGTCCTCAGGTGTGTGACTTCCTGTCTGTGTCCTCAGGTGTTTGACTTCCTGTCTGTGTCCTCAGGTGTTTGACTTCCTGTCTGTGTCCTCAGGTGTGTGACTTCTTGTCTGTGTCCTCAGGTGTGTGACTTGCTGTCTGTGTCCTCAGGTGTTTGACTTCCTGTCTGTGTCCTCAGGTGTGTGACTTGCTGTCTGTGTCCTCAGGTGTGTGACTTGCTGTCTGTGTCCTCAGGTGTGTGACTTCCTGTCTGCGTCCTCAGGTGTTTGACTTCCTGTCTGTGTCCTCAGGTGTGTGACTTCTTGTCTGTGTCCTCAGGTGTGTGACTTGCTGTCTGTGTCCTCAGGTGTTTGACTTCCTGTCTGTGTCCTCAGGTGTGTGACTTCCTGTCTGCGTAATCATTCCTTTGGTTCCAAACTGGTTCTGAGTGATTCTCAAGAAGAACAAACAGTGATTCAAACCAGTCCCAACCAGGATGTAAAACAGGTTAGTATTGGAGTAAAGAGGTTACATCCCCCCCCCCCCTCACCTGTTGGAACGTCAACAGACTATTTAAAAAATCATTTTAGAAATGCTGCAGGACCAGCCTCAGTTTCAGCGCCCACCCCCCTGCTGCTCAACACCTGCCTGCAGACATGCCTCGTGTAAGGTAAGGCCTGATACAACAGACTGATTTAAACATGATGATGGATATTTATTTTCTCTTGGATTTATTACCATTTTTAAGGTAATACAAAAGGAAATGATCAGGTTACATTACGTACAACTACAGTTTGACAAGTAAAGTAACTAAGTACACTTACTCAAGTACTGTATAAGGACAATGTTGAGGTACTTGTACTTTACCTAAGTATTTCAATGTTTTACTACCTTGTACTTCTACTCCACTACAGTTCAGAGGTACATGGTGTACTTCTACTCCACTACAGTTCAGAGGTACATGGTGTACTTCTACTGCACTACAGTTCAGAGGTACATGGTGTACTTCTACTGCACTACATGTATTTAATACCTTTAGTTACTTAAGCCCAAGCGTTTAAAAACAACCTATTTGAGTGAGCTGTTGCCAACTGCCATTGACCTCCATTGTAATTAAATGAGGGTTGTTTGGGTGATAAACAGAAAGAAAGGGGTGATCCACCTACAACTCCCAAACAGTGAGTGTTAGATTGGTTTTAACATTTAACACCATGTTATTTATTTATCTGATGCTCTATTTAAACAGAATGATTAAATCTAAGTCTCTACTTTAAAGAGTCCTCTCCTGCTGATGTTCAGGTGTATATCAGTATGTAGTGTCTCTACTTTAAAGAGTCCTCTCCTGCTGATGTTCAGGTGTATATCAGTGTGCAGTGTCTCTACTTTAAAGAGTCCTCTCCTGTTGATGTTCAGGTGTATATCAGTATGTAGTGTCTCTACTTTAAAGAGTCCTCTCCTGCTGATGTTCAGGTGTATATCAGTATGTAGTGTCTCTAATTTAAAGAGTCCTCTCCTGCTGATGTTCAGGTGTATATCAGTATGTAGTGTCTCTACTTTAAAGAGTCCTCTCCTGCTGATGTTCAGGTGTATATCAGTATGTAGTGTCTCTACTTTAAAGAGTCCTCTCCTGCTGATGTTCAGGTGTATATCAGTATGTAGTGTCTCTACTTTAAAGAGTCCTCTCCTGCTGGTGTTCAGGTGTAT